AAAATAATGTAATCTTTTTAATATAATGTTTTTTAATTTTTTTTAAAACAGAGATTTTTATGTCTTTAACAGAGATTGGATAGGTTTTCATATTTTTAAAAGAGATTAAATAGGTTTTTATATTTATTAACAGAGATTAGATATAGACCTCTTTTTCTTCATGACAAAGCCATTTTTTGAACGCAACTCTATTCTCTCTCTATTCTCCACACATGATACTTTTTTTGATAAAAAAATGTTTATGCACACACGGACAGGAAGGAAGCATGCTTGGCATTACCACTTGCCAATAAATGGCTCGATAAGTAAAAAGTCGCAAAAACAAAAATCATTCACTGAGCAACAACAAAAAAATTAATCTTACTGTGAGAATTGTGTGCCAAATTGGAACCAAAATAAAACCTATAAAAAGACTAATAAGAAGGAGCATGACTAACAGATATAGAAAAAAAAATGAAGCACTAAAAGGAAAAATTAAAATAAAGCAACAAATGACATGAACAACTTAGCTGGTGTTATTCACGTTGCATCTGTAGAAATATAAAACGGAACATGAAACGTTCGTTGTCGGTCTAAACTATATAGAAACGCGTTGTGCTCTACATATGTTGTCGAAACAAATGCGTCAGTAATAAATCCCAAATCGTGAAGTACAAAGCAAATCTCTTAAGAACATCTACTTAGAATCATAATACGCGCATAGTACGCAGGTTATGTCCCACTTTAGTGTTCTTACTTGTTTTAAAATTAAATAAGCCTGTGTAAAATTACGATATCATTGCCGTCTTTTATAATCGAGTTTATGATCGGGATTATAATGATGTTCTGGCGATAATGATGCGGTTTATCTTCGTGTAAAGGTGCGTGTAACGTGTGAAATTTGTCACAAATATCTCAAATACTTATAACTTGCATGCGCAGCATGCACAAATATAGCACGGACAAGTTTAATCCATTAAAGTAAATGATGTCCATTGCGAGTGCCTGCAGATGCACAAGTCGCCTATAGCAGTCCTATATTCTTAGCATTGTAAAAAAGAAGTGTGTCTTGGGAAGCACTTGCCGATTTTAAAGTGAGCGTCAACGTGTTAAGTCGATTCCCAAAATTATTCTGAATCAAACGGTATAACTATAATTACTGTCCATAATTCGAAAAATTGAGTTGGAAAACAAGTAGGCCAGGGCCTACAGTTGTTCATCTAACGTTAAGGCGATATATGGCGAATAGTTGAGAAAGTGCTCCAAAAGTGGTTCTTGTTTGGGGAAATATTTTTTATGACTTTTTCCTAAATATAAACACATTTGCATGGAAAACACTACTGCACTTGAGATTTGAACCCATGACCATTGATTTGTAAGTCGAGACTTTTTTACCTACTCGATCATTCGGGCCGAAAATATCGATTGAGATTCGCTCTTGTCTACGTCATGGTAACAATGACAATTGATTGGGCAATGAACGTATTTGTAGCAAAATCGCGATTGCAATCTTCTATACGCGCTGTGGGAGCACATGAATTCTTATACGTAGACAATTTATGGGCGCTTTTTGTGCTGGCCGCCTTGCGTGGAATATACCTGCTTTCTCTACCAAGGAAAGTGCATGAAGTTTTCGTAAACTTTAACAGCTCCTTGATCGTAGTGAATAACTGAATCTATTTAATCATGTCCCTCTGTCCCTTTGTGTAATTGTTATTAAATATTGATATGCTTTTGTACGCGCATTTAGATACTTACAGAACCTATTTTAGGTTACCATTGAGTGACAAGCATGCACTAATTTTGTTATTCCATTCCAAGGTTACCGATTTAGCTAAGTCAAGTCCACAAGCTCGTTTGCGTTTAAAGTTAATAAAATTTGATGTTGACAGTGATGCTTTGCACATATATTATTGAATTCCTTAGAAGAGGTTTGGAAAAAAGCTTAATCCGCCTGCAACATGTACGCGTAAACACGGCACGGCCGGATTAGAATAAAGTAATAAAACTATATCCTCCTTTAGACGAATCTTACCATCGCCAACAAATATGCAATAATCGACGAAATATTTGAATGTCCAATTTCAAGTTTTCTATGGAGATGTCTAGTGCACACACTTTGGTGCTGTAAACGAAAACACAAACGTAACGGATACTAATTATTTGATACTTGAATACAGTTATCTTCTTCGATGTTGCAAACAAAAAGGCAAACATAATGGGCCCTAATTGTTCGGTAGTTGAATAAAGTTATCTATTTTCCTTGATGCACGACAAGAGATTAGTTCTAATAAATAAATGTTAAATAAAAAAAAAAAGTTCTCTACTTTTCTTTGATGCACACAAAGCCGTTTGACTCTGTGCTGTAAATATGTACCAAAGCTAAGCGTATTCGATAGGTAGCTTCGGTTAATTTTGAGATTGACGCACATAATACTGGTTGCAGTATTTAATAGCGAAGGAGAGTTATTTTTTGTACCAAAGCTTACTATTACATAAGAATCGATTCATCTCCAATTACAATACATTTTACACGCTGCTTGAAACAAGTGTCGATAAAATAAGTATTATGGCTGCAGCTTGGAGTCCGCCGCCGTGGATGAAAATCAGTAATGCAAGGACTGGCTATAGTTCTTTGAAACAGTTGACATATTATGAAGCAGGATCCATCGTAAGCCGATGAGAATCTGTTAATTTAAATCGAAACTTTGGTAACTTATACAGGTGTGATGGATGAAAAACATTTAAAAAAGCGTATCGACATGAAAGAGAGCTGTACTTTAATGCATTTTAAACAAAGTTAGAAACAATTAAATTCATCTTCACCCGTGACAAAAATCACGAATAGATCAATAGTGATGACGTAACCCAATGTCGTAGGTAATTGATTATAGTAGCGCAAAAACAAGAATGTTCCTTAGATGAACTTACAATTACAATTTCCGTTAAGCTGTAGCAGAACGCGTCGGCGTTCTGAACAGAAAATGTTTGAACCCAAACTGCCAAGCGACTCTATGATAGCACAGAATTCTTGACAATTGTGTCCGGAAGATAGTAAATGTAGGGTCGGATAGGATAAGTCACAGTTTACTAAGTATTATTTATACGTTTTTTGATTTTACAAATAGAATGAGAACATTAGTTAACCCAGCACCAGATAAGAACAGAGAAGGACATGTTGACAGCAAATTTAAAAAGAAAACATGACTAATAACTGAAAGAATGAAAAACGCTCATTACAAAATAAACGTATAAAAGATTAAACACATTTTAGATGATATAAACGAAAGCTTTGGTATATAAACAGATCATTTTTTAATTAATAAATCCACAAATCATTCATTTAAGGTTATAGACTTTTCAAAGAAAGATGCACTTTAACGGAGTAATTCTCGATTAGTAAGATATCTAATTAGAAAAAAATCAAAATCCAATCACCTTGAACTTGCGGTTACTTTGGATAAACTGGTTTTTAGTTATTTCTAAACCTGAATGTGCTAATAAACATGAAAGTCATCCTGGAATGAGTTACGGAAGCGCGAAATCTCTGTACTTCACTTAGATTGGTTTCTTTTTGGAGAACTAAATGTCGAAAAGTTAAAATAAAGGGCTGAAATAGTCTAAAAAGACGGGTATTCGTAAATAAAAATTCTTAATGTACACCCCGACCAAGCAAAACTAATGTAATCATAAAAATTTTTTTAAACACGACTTTTATACTACCTGCTCAAATTAGTTTAGCAAACTGACAAAAGCAAGCTTTCACTTGAAATTTCATTATTGCATTCGAGCAAATTTAATTGGAAGGGCGTCGTGAACGATACGTATTTTCCGTTTTTATAGTCAAGCAACATTTTTTACTTACTTTTCTAAAAATTCGACGATACTGAAACGATACGAAGAGAAAAGTCTTTAAAGATAACAATAATAATTATAAGCAGAAAACATTTACCGCTAAAGGAAGAGGAACTAAATCTCGGCGACTCCCACTACGTATAAAAAGTGGGGTTCTCTGTCTGACAAACAATCTTTGCCTTATCGATAATGCAGTTTAAAGATATTTGATTTCAATCTCCCTCAAAAAGTGATGATCAAAAATTTTAACTATAATTAAAGAAAACTATTATAAAGAAATGAAAAGGCGTCACTAAGAGTGAAAGTTGAAAAAATATCCGCAAGTGCGTCGATTAAGGGATTGCGTTGGAGCAAAATCTATGCTTTACCTAATTAGAAACTCAACCATATGTTATCACCGCTATCTAGCCATCGTACTAATAATCCTTCTAATCCGCCCTTCCATACATTTTCTTTTTTTTGGAAACTGTATATTTTTGTTTTTACCTTTATTTTGTCAATTTTCGTCTACAAAATTTTTAACAATTTTTTAAAATATTTATTTTATGTTTACTTTTAAATATTTTATTTGTAAATTTTAACTATTTTTTAGAAACTATTTTTTAATAATTTGTGACACAACTTGAAACTTTCGATAAGTTTTTCTTTCTGTTTTGTTACCGAAGTTAGCGTTGGCAAGAAATCGATATACCATACAATAAAAATACATACGATAATAAGTAATAAAAAAGTATAGTCAAACGAATTAATGGTTATCATTGGGAATTTGTTGATTAAAGCAACAACTTCTTAAATACAAGCATGGTGATAAGAATCGATATATAACTGTTAATCCGCTTTGTTAATTTTTATTATATAATGAAATTGTCTTAAATAATTATTATTTCTAATAAATAAATTAAACTCAAACTTAAGAATACTACATATTCAATATAAGTAGCATAATTTGAAAATATGGAACTGGATCGAACTCATAGCAATAGTAGTATTATTGTATGTGAGCTAAAAAATTTGTTTATTTTATTTATTTATAAATTCGTTTAAAACTTTTCGATGACTTATTTCAAAACAGCCCCCTATTTTATATTCTACATGGTGAGCTCTGAGTTTTATTTGTCTCCTATCAACATTAGATTAAATATATATAAACAAGCATACTTCAAATTGAAAAAAAAAAAAAATTGAGGCTCGGCAATCCTGACAGAAATTTTTAGCGCATTTCGATATTTTTTTTTAAAGTTTTATAAATAAAATTGCCTACTAGCGGTAAATTTACATAAAATTGTTTTTGCTGAATTAAGTCGGAATTTATATAAAAAGAAAAATACATTCCAAACAAAAAAAATACGTGAAAAGTAGTACAAACTATAATTAGTCAAAAGACATCAAGGCAAAAGCCAAAATGGCTGATAAACGTGCACGAAAGGAAGAAGTAAGTTTTTTAAAGACTGCTCCACATTTGCTCGGTTTGTCTTTGTTTTCTTTTATTTGACTGAGTCTTTTTTAAGTTTACAGATTTAGAGGCAGTGGATGATATGCTTATTAATGTTAATAATTTTATTGAAGGGATTTACCGTGATTTGAATATTCGATCAATTAGTATACCTGAATTCAATCCGATGTCTCAAATTTTAAATTCACAGTCTCGATCGACATCTCCGTCGTCTCCGCTGTCGTCACCAGTTATTGCTTTGGATAGAGATATAGTTACCAATACATCAAATAGTCTAAATTTTCGTGGAAGCCATAGAATTTTAGAACCTATTTCACATCCTGAAGTTGTAATTGACACTGTTCGAGGTAAAAAGCAACGATGGTTGATTAAGTGCTCCATAGTATTATAATTGTCTCATTTACAGTTAACCGCATTTATGGGACACCAGATCACAATCAGCGTTCTATAGGAATTTCCATAGGTAATTGTAGCACTATTAGAAGCGTACCCATTTTACCATGCGGCCCCGTATCACAAATAATGAGCTCAAGTATAAATAATGCGAATTTGAGGACAAATAGTTCTTGCCTCCGAAACACTAGCGCCTGCCCCGCAAATGCGGCCGAATCAATTGTCGACTTGACAATTTTGCAAACACCAGAATCTTTAAGATACAGGAGTGCGGTGGGGGAGGGTCGCGGTGGTCATAGACGCAATAACTACAAAGATGGGGACGTTACCATAGTTCCATCCTGTAGTAATGAAGTGATTGACTTATGTACACCCACAGTTTCGGCACCAGTCTCAAAACGGGCTTTACGCCTAGACCAAAACTCATCCGTGCACAATATTTCGGAATCACCTATACGCCCCACAACCTCAAGTAATCAATGTCGCAGGCGTTTCTCCAACCGCCCCAACCATTCCCAACAATTAATCGTCAATCGCGATACAAGCAAGCCCAAAAAGGCTACAGATAAGTCGTCCTCTAATGAATATTCATTATTGTCGACCGTACTGCCAACTACGCCAGGTGCTCGCACACCTTTCATGTGTCCAGTATGCATGGAATCAACTGTGCAGCGGCAGCCTACGTCTACACGTTGCGGCCATGTATTTTGTCAAAGCTGTATTCGTCAAGCGATAGAGTTCAGCCGTAAGTGTCCTTTATGTAAAGCGAAAGTGCTGCCAAATCATCTATTACGGATCTACTTATAATTGAATAATTTTAAATCTGTTTTAGCAAGTTTTTTTTATAAAAGGAGAAAAATTTGAAATAGGTATTTTGAAGGATTTGTAAAGCTTTTGCTCTTTTTTTTTCAATATTTAGTTTGTAAATTATGTGTGTATGAGTTTGTTATTTTTTTGTTTCGCTTGTTTTCACATAATCAATACATTTATTAAAAGAAATTGTAATTGAAAAACCGAATCGTTTTGAGGTTTTAAATTGTAAAATTGTAATTAGAAGAAGCAGGCTACTAGTCATATGGCCACCCGCTAAGTCAACTTCCGAAGAGAAGAACGCGTGTTTTGGTATTATCGTAAAATTCGGAAACAGTCATTGGAACAATCGTTAATCGGAAAAATTAACATCCGGTAAAAATAATGTGGTGGCATTAGTTTTGATTTTTGAATCTTGAATGCAATCAAAAAATGCTTGAATGCTTGCAAAAAATCGACAAATAATTGACTAGGCGATATGGGAACATTGCCAATATATGGATTTATCAAAGGTTCGCATTTACTTTTACGTTTTAGTTATTGTGTTATATCCCTTTTTTGCCACTCATCATCAACCACCTTCATTTTCCTGCAAATTCGACGGGAAAAATATGCTTTCCAAGCTGGAAAACATACATTTCAATGAGATAACTTATATAAAGGCTTTACACGTGAAAATTGTGTTTTTTCATGGCGAAAGCATAATCTATCCATTACCGACATATTACAAGTTGGACCCTGTCTTTGAAAAGCGTGAAGTCATATTTAAACATTAAACGATTCAAAGCCGTCATTACATTATGAACATTTTTTTTACTTATGAACACATCTGGGAGACCAATGTAAAATCACGGAAGAACTGCTGCATCTTTATCAAATTTATAGAGGGAATATTGTTTATTTAATCCATAGCATGGACTTACATGGACCTACAAGAGTAATATAAATTTTTACTTATTTTATTATTAGTTTTGCATTTAATCTTAGAGATAGAGAGAATATTTTCTAATTACCATGTTAATATATATAGCAATAATATGAAATTAAACGATTTCTTTTTGTAGAAAATATAGTTGCTTCTATTGCATGCCTTTATCTTGGCTTTGATTTTCGTTGTTTTCGTGGTCAAGTGGCGCATATAGTAAAAATAGGGTTTTTATGGGATGTCGTCTACGAATTTAAGGAGCTAAGGCAGTTTCCCTTAAAAATTTGCGTTCGGAGTTTTCGTACATTCGGCTTTCGATCCAGAGTTTTTACAAAATGTTACTTCGCATTGTAAGTGTGATTTCAGCAGACATGTAGACGGAACGGACGTCGGCTGAAGCGATTCCTTTTTTTATATTGTTGTTACTTATTATATTATAATACTTTATACAGTGCCTTCGGAGATTTCTGGGCACTATGTGTGTACGGCGCTAGCCTAACTAAATTAAGATCATGCTAATCTCTTTGGTAATATGTAATTATGTAATTCGTCTATGGCACGCTCCATTTTAGTGCCCGATAAAAGTTAATTACATGAACCAAAAAAATGACCAATCTCCAGGAGAGGAGAAAAGACCGTAAGGGCAAACGTCACAGAGCAAACTAAAGAAAGAATAAATATTAAGATCGTCCGCACCGGTGCGTTAGAAATGTGAATTACATTTCATTTTATTCAGTACTCTACGAGCGTCGGAAAACACAAGATTGAAAACATACTAAAGTATTTCCTTCTTACACTTTACTAATACCCATCGAACAACTGTCGCACTAAATATCATTATTCCTTTTTTAGTGATGGGACTACAACTTTGCCTACTTTTTACGATTCTTTGTGGGAATTGGCTCGAGCTTAGAGAAGACATTTAATTTATATATTTTATAAGTGGTTTAGTTACCTATATACGACACAGTTAAGTATATACATTCTAGAAACATTTCTATATTAGAATTACACAGACTTGTAAATTAAACGTCTTCCACAGACAGCTACTTCACCAGTATTTTTTGGTGGGAATACGTCTTTTTGAACGTTTTTGAGGGTTTGTAGGAATTGACAAATCATATGGTTTTGCATTAATACAAACAAACAAAGCAAGAAGAAAAATGCCATCATTTTTTCAACCATTGTTGGCATTATTAATGTAAAATATTGTGATTTCTTAGATTATAACCATTTTAACCGTTCTTCCTTCTTTTTTTTTTTAGTGTAATTTCGAATCTTGAACGAGGTGAGCTTCGCGCATACAATATGTAAATATTGATAATGAGAAAATACACAATAAACACTATTGCATATAGTTGACTAATTCATATGTATATAATATTATTGGCGTTGCAAATAAATAAAATAAGAATAAAGCATCATTTTGGGTTCATCTTGAAGTCTTTTGTTCCCATTTTTATAAAAATTAAATTTCCTGTGAAAGTTTGGAGGTGTTGTGTTCGTAAATTTTGTAAATTTCCATTTATGCGATAATATAATCTACGTAAAAGTAGACACACACTACTTGCTTTAAGTATTTCTTAATTAATTATGCAAATGGCGTTCATAAAGCTTCTTCGAAACTGATTGGGACCAGAGATTTTTCTGGTAGAGAAAATTGCAATAATTTAATAGAATAAATCAAAAAAAATTTAATTATAACGTTTAATAGCAATTCAGTAATAATAAGCGGTGAGCGTGTATTACGCTAGTGCTCTAAATTGTAATTTATTTATGCTTTAAAGTTCAGAACACGTTGTCCATAAGAAAAGTTAATTAAATAGTTAAATAAAACATAATACGAAATGGTTATATATTGCCAAAAGGAAAATCAAGAAGTAGAGAAAGATAAAGAGTAAAAAATTTGTGCATGTGCAAATAAGCTAATTAGAAGTAATGGGTGAAAATATAAAAAGAAAGACATGTTATCTTTTTTATTTTATTCACTAAAAAAGTAAGGAAGAAAATAATAGTATTAATGAAGATATACATTTCTAACAGTCTTTGCAGTCAATTCAGTCCATAAACAAGAGAGATTGCCGAGACCGTAATATACAAGGCTACAGATAATACTTCTATCGTTTTATGTTTTCTGCCATAAATTCGTCAACAAATCGAGAAAACAAGACAAGAAACAATCAAAAACTACATCAACCAACCACACCCCTCGACTTGTTTGAAGTGATTGTTTACAGTATAAAAAATGATGTATAACAAAAAATATACCAGAAACTATAAAATACCCTCAAATTTCAAAGTAAATTTGCACGCGCACTGAAATTCGCAGTAAATTTATAAAGACAGGTCATGTCCTTGAAGTATTAAGTAAGGTTTCAGAAATCGTAGAAAGCAAAACCAAACACCTTTTCAACCACTACTCAGAATTCTTCATGTGATAGCCTTAAGAGGAAGTGATGTCGTGCAAGCCTTTTATTGTGCTATAAAGATCGTAAATCTTACAATTATTTGTAGAGTATTCTTCCCTTATTATATATTCCTGTCCACTTTGATTTAAGTTGCAGTGAATACATTTACAATATGTTTGTGGTAAGGTACACATTTCAGCAACATCCTCAAAGTCGTAGCTGTGTTCGTCATCAACACTCATATTTACAACATTGCATTTGGGCGTGTTGTTGTTTGTTGTTGCTGGTCTACATATGTCTGCCAATGCTTTGTTGTACATCTCTATTAACATTTGCTGCCGCTGCGGATACACAGTCAAAAGGTGAGCAAATTCAGATTTATATGCTTAATATTATGTACGTGTATCATATGATTTGCTATTTGGAAACCATATGCGAACATTTTTTATACATGCTTTCAAGAAGTGGATACTATGTAAACGAACTAAGCCTGGGTTCTTGTTAAAATGTGTTTCTCACATTCTTGCGATTAATCAATCAACAGAAGTTTTTAACGAAAAGAATGGTTAAAAGAAAAGAATTAATATACGTGTTATACAAAGCGTCGAACACGGAGGAATTTTGAAGTGCATTAAATTGAGTGTGTTCAAGAAAAATTAAATACTACTAAAAAAATGGGTGATTGCATTCCGAGACACACACTTAATAATTGAAAGAAGTAAGCCTTAGAAACATATTGCTGTATATATATTTTCTTTTGGTCTATACGAGTCACGTAAACAAATTTTATATCTTTCTCTCTTTACTTCTATAAAAAGACAGTTTATTTTATCAAAATGAGAGGTGAATACATGCATTATATTTTTGCGGGAGTTCTAGGCCCTCCTAATGTAATACAAGTGCATATACTGTATTATTCCTGCATCGAAATTTCGAAAATTTTCGTTTTGTATGGTGGTTGGTTAATTTTTCCAAAACCCAGAACGAAGCTTTAGAAAGCCCAGAAGGTGTACTTATTCTTGACCAGTGTCAAGTTTAGAATCTAAGCAAGCATGTCTGCGTGCGTGTTACCTGCGATAAACATTCTTTCCTTCGAAAAATAAAAATTTCCTTGTCTGCAGAACATTCTTGAAAATGGGCCAATCAGTCGAAGGACACTCTTACATTTTAACTTAAATTCTAAGTTTTTCGCTCATGGCTCATAACCTGCAACAGACAGACCGCAAAAATATCTATGTACATTCTACAAACGTACAAAAAGTCCACTAAGCGCGCTCATTATTACAAAGTATGGAATTTTTTCAGTCTGCTTTAGTATAAAGATTAATTCGCCTGAGTGGCCGAGTAGGCAAAGAACTTCGACTGTCGCGACTTAATGGTAGTAGGCTCAAACCTCAAGTATGCTAAAGTTTTCAATAAAGCCGACAGTCTTAGAATGCTAGTGCTTTAAGGTCTTAAGCTTAAAATTTATTTCTCTGGCTGAATTAATTATAATAATAATAATTTCTCTGTTGAACGCAAAAGGAGAGTATGTTTTAAAATTTTTGAGCTTTTAACGTTACGATCGAAAATAAATTTATATCACATTTTATATCATCCTGCTTTATTAAATAAAAATTTATTAATTATATTTAATTGAGCAATTAAAAAAAATAAGCAAAAAGCTTATACCAGCAATGTAATGAATACACAACTTAATTCCTATTTCTTTTCTTTTTTAACGGGTAAATTTTACAACTAACGGAAATAAAAGTTGTAGAAAAACATATGACCGCATTGGATATTATAAGAGAGAAATAATATCTTAGTATAATTTTTACGTAAAACTTATGTCACACTATTATGTTGCGAACTTCCTACGACATTATAGTATTCAATTAAGTGCACATACAGATATCTAAACATATCGTACACAAACACGCTGATTGGTTTATAAAAGATAAATCCATTCTCTGTAAAAAAGAAATTTGCATTCATAATACATGTGAGTTTATGATATTATGATCAATATAATACATCGGGATGGATTAGAGTCGTCCCTACAGTCAATGGATATCTTTCGACAGTTAAATAAGTAGATATGTGGATGCTGGAACATACCTTTGACTATATATTAACTTTGGAAAAATTGGGCAATTAAAAGGAAACGGGGGAAATTTCATAGGTGTCTGAGGTATTTAAACCAAAAACTCTTCTGACCATTTCACTAAGATAATGATACAAATATTCGCTAAGACATGAATATCGCTTTCTGATATATCTACATTTTCACTAACATATAACGGTATTATTAAATGATTTTTACTTATAACAAATACATATCTGCATGATAAGAATCGTAGCCCCTCTATTTTATTCATTTTTGTCTTATTGTTACTGACTTTAATTGTTTCTTTTACTTTAAACCTCTGTTCATATATCCAGGAAATGCTTTTTTTCTTATATTATTACTTTTAATTGCAAACACATTTTTTTGTACAGTTTCTTATATTAATTGCGCTAGACTAGTTTAGCCATTTATTCTGCTCTAGAAAAACTCGTCTTTTTATCCATTCAGTGTCAATTCGCTTGCAGGGGGTTCTCAATTATTTTGAACTGTGTCTATCAATTTTGAATAGTATACTTGCTAAGTGTAAACGCAGCTTACTTTGTTATGGTCATTCGATTAAACATACTTGAAAACGTAAAAAATTTCTCAAACAATTCAAATTTGCAAGTCTTGGAAGGGTGAGAAGTGTAATCGAAATATAATTTCCCTCGGGACAATTAACAAATATAAAAATAATGTTGACTCATATTCTCCGCTTGAGTAGGTAAGAACCGTGAGCGCGAAGTCAGTGTTTACGGCTTCGAATCTCAAGTGCGGTAGGGTTTTTTCGTTGGTCGCAGCTGTAGTGAGTACTCAGTCGATAAAGGCATAACGCTTATTGATTGGGCACACTTTCAAGTTCCCGTACTTAAGATAATATAGGCTAGCATATAAGCAAACTTTGAAAGGTCACTGCGGGCAAACCATGTCTTGTGAAAAAATGAAACTTGGAAAGACTATTAATAGAGGATTAACTATGTGTTAATTTCATTTTCTCACACGACATGGTTTGCACGCAGTGACCTATCATAATAATTGTCAACGTCTTATGACGAAAATTTGTTCACGATAGTAATTTGACATAAAAATTAAGTGGAACAATTTTGAACCAGATGAGTCTACCCATTGGACCTTGCTCTATATAAGATTTCCCATCTGTAGTAAGCCCTACAGAAAAAAGGTCAATTTTTAATATTTTAAGATGAAAATTAGTCCCTCGTAGCAATTTAGCAAAGAAACTAACGGTAGCGAACTTTGATCACATAAATCTGTCCTTTAGATTTTAACATATATAGGGGTTATCATGGAAAGCAAGCTCTTATGTGGAGAGAAAGTCTAATTTCTACTTTTTTTTTGGCGGAAACTAAGAAATAATGAAGGTTTTAGGGAAGTTTTAAGTTAGATCACGCCACGTGATGTTTGGGTATCCTTATGAAAAGCGCGCCTTTGCAGCAAACTAATATGTAATTTGTGTATTATCACCAAAACGAGGGAGTAATCGTACTAGGCAAAGTGGTGTATAGTATTGAAAGGTTGGCCTTGCCCAACTATAATGTTCTTACTTTTTTTTTTATGTTGAATTTTCCTATTTTCTTTCTTTGTTAAAATTTTGCTATTGTTATTAACACTAATGTCTTTTATTGTTAATATGTCATTTGTTTGAAAGATAGGTGTGGCTTTCTGGATTACACTTCCAATGCTCAATGTCTTTTTTTTAATCTAAGAATTCAATTCATTAGTCTAAAATTAAAATAATAATAATAATAATAATAAAAAAATTTGGGATAAGCTCAAATTTTGATGCAATTTAAATATCCGGGAAAATTAATGTTAGAATATATGCAAAATGTTCCAATGTCGGGATGAGTGGATCATTTTTATTTTAATCAACAGAAAAGATCCTAGAAGGTTTGAAATCAAAAAAGACGTTTTTGCTAATGCAGGAATGCCGACAAAAGACGGCAGCCTGAAGTCGTCTCTGAATCTCATCATACGCACTACTCTAATCCTTCCCTGTGTAAACATATCGAATTCCTAAACTTTGTAACTCCTATCAAAATTAATGAACCTCATCTGTCCGTTCTAGAAATAGACAAAATGCGTCGCATCCAACACAATATTTTTCATTCTTCTTTAGGGTTGATGTCTGGTTGTTTTAATCGGACAAATGTCTTTTTTTAAAAAAAGGGTTGTTAATGGCTCCAAAGAACATTCACTTAGATAAAGAGTTAAGCCAACGACCGATAGATCAATTTTTAATTGAAATTTTTTAAAAGTCTTAAGATAAGTATTAAAGAAATATAAAAGAAGGAAGCAAAGTGACAAAATCAGATCTTTTTATACATTTATTTATTTTATAAGTAAGCAAGTATAGTAGAATAAGCATGTATTGTATCCTTTACTTTTCTTTTTTAACTGCTACGACTTGCAACGTCGTCAAATGCTAAACGCAACGTCATTCATAGAGTCAAAAGCATCTTTTAATTGATAAATATTTAAAAGATGAAAAAGAAAATGGTTTCGTGAGGGGCGCACGGGGCAATCTAGCTTTTGAACAAACGGAGATCCAAATTGCTCTCCCTCTTTAATTTTTTATGTGAGAACAGGCAGCACATTGTGCCTGCTTGTATTACAATAACTTCGCTTTTTATTTAGATTATTTTTTTCTTTGATTGTTGTTATTGTTGTCGCTCTTTGTACAGTTCATGGTGCAAAGATAATGTAAAACATTAACAAAAATTGTTGTATAAAAATGCAATAACCTCTGCGTGCTTATAGAATCGCCGCTACAAAAACCTTGACTCAATAAATATTGGACTTTATTAATTTACTCCAAAATAGATGTTTCAAGTTTGCCAAAGAAGGAGAAATAATGTGGTTTTCATAACTATAAAATCGAAGAAAATGTTTTTATTATTCGAATAAGTTTGTAGATTTTAAACTAAATATCTGTTTTACAAGCGAGTGCTGTTCATTAATTCGATGGCGAAAAATCGGACAATATCGACGATGCAAAAGCTGATATAAAATTCGGGGTTGAGTTAGTATTTTGTTGTATTTTCTACGCAGTATTGTAAAGACAGCGTAAGCGTTCATCGTCCATGCGAGTGAGCTTCCGCATACATAGATTGTGCCACAAATTATAGTGTTGTTATGCTATAAATATATAATATAAAATCGTGACCGCTAGGAAAATTATAGTTAATATAAGTAATATATGTCCCTCTATCCATTTGATAGCCTTGAATATAAAATATGATTTATCGTCAAACC